ACGGCCAAGGCAACAAAGGAGCGGCTCAAGAAGAAGCACATTAAGGTCCTGGAGTGGCCTAGCCAGTCTCCAGACCTTCATCCGATGGAAAATCTGTGGAGGGAGATGAAAGTTCGAGTTGCCAAACGTCAGCCACCAAACCTTAATGACTTGGAGAGAATCTGCCAAGAGGAGTGGGCCAAAATCCCTCCTGAGATGTGTGCGAACCTGGGGGCCAACTCCAGGAAACGTCTGACCTCTGTGATGGCCAACAAGGGATTGGCCACCAAGTACTAAGTCATGTTTTGTGAAGGGGATCAAATCCTTCTTTCCCTCATGAACATGCAGATCCGTCATCATTTGTTAGACGCATTTCTGCTGAATTTGTTGTTGTATTCTGTCTCTCAGTGTTACACCGAACATTCCATTGTTAGACCGATCGTTTCTGTGTGAGGGGGCGAACATTCCATTGTTAGACCGATCATTTCTGTGTGAGGGGCGAACATTCCATTGTTAGACCGATCGTTTCTGTGTGAGGGGCGAACATTCCATTGTTAGACCGATCATTTCTGTGTGAGGGGCGAACATTCCATTGTTAGACCGATCGTTTCTGTGTGAGGGGCGAACATTCCATTGTTAGACCGATCATTTCTGTGTGAGGGGCGAACATTCCATTGTTAGACCGATCATTTCTGTGTGAGGGGCGAACATTCCATTGTTAGACCGATCATTTCTGTGTGAGGGGCGAACATTCACCATCAGCAGGGGAGTGAATATGAATTTCCTTCACTGTAGTTAGTCTGGCTGAAAAAAGACAAAAGTCCATCCAGTTCAACCATTAAAAAAAAAGTTATAATCCTCCACCCACAGTGGATCCAGACGAAGGCAAACAACCCAGCAAAGCACGATCCAATCTCCTCCTGCAGGGGGAAGTATCCCTTCCTGACCCCCCGAGAGGCATTCGGATATTCCCGGGATCACCTTCCCCTATAAATGTTCTATCCGGTTATATTCTGTGTATCCAAGAAACAATCCAGGACTTCCCTCCAGCAATCCCTGAGCTGCCACAACCAACTCATATAAAGTGATACTCTTATTTATAAAGAAAGGAAAATCTTTTGAAAAAATGATACAAATGATAATAAAACGATATTCTTGTAATACTCTCATGAAGGAATATTCTGATAATAGAATGTATATTGCGGGGATTTGCACGCGCTGTCGCTGTCCGCAGATCTCCATGAGACTCTTCTAATGATATCTCTTGTAACTCCGATCTCTTTCTTTCCTCCTCTGCAGGATTGCACTGTCTATGAAACAGAAAATAAGATCCTCCATGTGGTGAGTGTTGTTTTTCCTCCCTGATATCAGGGGATCTGTGATGTCATTGTTTCCTGTGGAAGTTAAAGTGTTCCTGAACCCCCCCCCCCCCCCCCCCACAGTACAATCAGTCTGTAGATGCAGTGACGCATGCTTGTTATACTCACTGTGGGACCTAAGGGGTTAATCCTCTGCATTTCGTAAAAAGGCTGTTTGATCCTGTCTTCTCTGCCCCTCCTCTTGTCAAAATGACCAACTGATACAGACTGAATCCGTAGTCACATGCACATGCTCAGTTCGGTGTGTATTGCTAAAGAGGTGTTTTTTTCTGTCTTGGGAGAGTGCATGTGATCAGCACAGGGCCAATCAGCACTGTCCAAACAGTGGTCAGGGGTTCTGCATCCTCTTAGAGCGGAAAGAAAACTCCTCCTACAAGCTTTAACCAGTGCTCTGCTGAAGTCACAAGACTGTTATATACTGCTGATGAGAAAAGGGATTTAGCAGTTTAGATTTACTAAAATAATTGCATTTCCATGTTCTGTGTACTGTGGGAGAGCGGATATAGTGAATGCGGGGTCCGGGGAGAGCGGATATAGTGAATGCGGGGTCCGGGGAGAGCGGATATAGTGAATGCGGGGTCCGGGGAGAGCGGATATAGTGAATGCGGGGTCCGGGGAGAGCGGATATAGTGAATGCGGGGTCCGGGGAGAGCGGATATAGTGAATGCGTCATCCGGGGAGAGCGGATATAGTGAATGCGGGGTCCGGGGAGAGCGGATATAGTGAATGCGGGGTCCGGGGGAGAGCGGATATAGTGAATGCGGGGTCCGGGGAGAGCGGATATAGTGAATGCGGGGTCCGGGGAGAGCGGATATAGTGAATGCGGGGTCCGGGGAGAGCGGATATAGTGAATGCGGGGTCGGGGGGAGCGGATATAGTGAATGCGGGGTACGGGGAGAGCGGATATAGTGAATGCGGGGTCCGGGGAGAGCGGATATAGTGAATGCGGGGTCCGGGGAGAGCGGATATAGTGAATGCGGGGTCCGGGGAGAGCGGATATTGTGAATGCGGGGTCCGGGGAGAGCGGATATAGTGAATGCGGGGTCCGGGGAGAGCAGATACAGTGAATGCGGGGTCCGGGGAGACCGGATATAGTGAATGCAGGGTCCGGGGAGAGCGGATACAGTGAATGCGGGGTCCGGGGAGAGCGGATATAGTGAATGCGGGGTCCTGGGAGAGCGGATCTAGTGAATGCGGGGTCCGGGGAGAGCGGATATAGTGAATGCGGGGTCCGGGGGGACAGATATAGTGAATGCGGGGTCGGGGGGGCAGATATAGTGAATGCGGGGTCGGGGAGAGCGGATATAGTGAATGCGGGGTCCGGGGGGAGAGCGGATACAGTGAATGCGGGGTCCGGGGAGAGCGGATATAGTGAATGCGGGGTCCGGGGAGAGCGGATATAGTGAATGCGGGGTCCGGGGAGAGCGGATATAGTGAATGCGGGGTCCGGGGAGAGCGGACATAGTGAATGCGGGGTCCGGGGAGAGCGGATATAGTGAATGCGGGGTCCGGGGAGAGCGGATATAGTGAATGCGGGGTCCGGGGAGAGCGGATACAGTGAATGCGGGGTCCGGGGAGAGCGGATATAGTAAATGCGGGGTCCGGGGAGAGCGGATATAGTGAATGCGGGGTCCGGGGAGAGCGGATACCAAAGGTGTGACTAGTTCTGGTGACACTCAGGGATTCCCTGACTTTGGAGGGATTTCTTCCCGCTTCCTGTTGTGGCTATGGGACAGGAAGTGAAAGAAAATTCACAATTTTGGGTTGTCACCAGAACAGGAATAAAAGGGAAATCTTCCAATGGGGTCACTAGTTTGGTCACAACCTGGTATTCCCTGACTTTGGAGGGATTTCCTCCCACTTCCTGTTGTGGCTATGGGACAGGAAATGAAGGGAAATCTCCTTGAACCTATTAAAAGTTTGATGAGATTTTAGCGGTCGGAATGCCATCGACTTTCTCGTATCTTCGCGTTCGCACATGAGCACAGGTCCACTTTGCCGTGGCTCTGCTTCGGTGGATTAGCGTAGATGAACGATTTTCCCGGCGCCGTTTTCTAAAGAGCGATAATATATTATAACTGCGGAGCTGCGGTGGGGCTAATTACCCCGCGCCGTACGTATAAAACACATAATCACTTTGGCGCGGTTCTGCCGGAGCCGTCGGCTGACATTTAAATTAACGAAGAATTCTCGCATTGATTTTCTAAATAGGTGTTATTTTCCGTGTCACTTCTCAAGCAGCGCATTTCATAAACACGCCGCGGCGGCGACGGCGGCTCCATTGTGCGTCGTCCTCGCGTGTAAACAAACATTTCCGAGCCGAATGGAAAATGCAGCGTTCAAGCTGAGCCTTTCTTCTCCTCATCTGTGGGAGGCGGTTTTCCGTCACGCGCTGCGCGCCCGGCGACGCTCTTTTCCTGGCTCGCCCATTGGCGGGAAGGCTTTTCAAACGTCGCTGTCTGTGATCTCAGGGTTGGCGCCAGATGAGGACGGTTCTGTCCACAGACGCAAATCTGAGACAATGTTTCAGGGCCGGTTCACACTGTAGAAACGCTATCCAGATGCGTTTTTTTGTCATGCGTGTTTTTGGTGACTTCCGGTGCGTTTTATGTTTTCCGGTTCATTTTTCCCCCTCTTTTTTTTCAATTTAAATGTGCATTCCAGTGTGTTTGTGATGTGTTTTTGATGCGTTCCGGTGCGTTTTTTTTTCCCCTCTTTTTTTCAATCTAGATAGGGACATGTGCGTTCCAGTGCGTTTTTGGTGCATTCCGGTGCATTTTTGAAGCGTTTTTGGTGCGTTCCGGTGCATTTTTGAAGCGTTTTTGGTGCGTTCTGTGCAGGAAAAATGCAGCCTTTTCTATTTTTTTCTGCAACCGGAACACACGGGAGCTGCAAGCGCTGATGTGAACGATGACACCGACAACCAGATCACTGGTCCTCAATGTCTTCATCCCCAGATTCCGGGAACCCGAAAACTGTCCTGGGAAGTCGGATCTCAGGGGGTCTGAGCATGCACAGATGTCCCCAGCAGAAGGATGTAGGTCCCGGATCTCAGGGTGTCTGAGCATGCACAGGTGTCCCCAGGAGAAGGACGGAGGTCCCGGATCTCAGGGGGTCTGAGCATGCACAGGTGTCCCCAGCAGAAGGACGGAGGTCCCGGATCTCAGGGGGTCTGAGCATGCACAGATGTCCCCAGGAGAAGGACGGAGGTCCCAGATCTCAGGGGGTCTGAGCATGCACAGATGTCCCCAGGAGAAGGACGGAGGTCCCGGATCTCAGGGTGTCTGAGCATGCACAGGTGTCCCCAGGAGAAGGACGGAGGTCCCAGATCTCAGGGGGTCTGAGCATGCACAGATGTCCCCAGGAGAAGGACGGAGGTCCCAGATCTCAGGGGGTCTGAGCATGCACAGATGTCCCCAGGAGAAGGACGGAGGTCCCGGATCTCAGGGTGTCTGAGCATGCACAGGTGTCCCCAGGAGAAGGACGGAGGTCCCGGATCTCAGGGGGTCTGAGCATGCACAGATGTCCCCAGGAGAAGGACGGAGGTCCCAGATCTCAGGGGGTCTGAGCATGCACAGATGTCCCCAGGAGAAGGACGGAGGTCCCGGATCTCAGGGGGTCTGAGCATGCACAGATGTCCCCAGGAGAAGGATGGAGGTCCCGGATCTCAGGGTGTCTGAGCATGCACAGGTGTCCCCAGGAGAAGGACGGAGGTCCCGGATCTCAGCGGTCTGAGCATGCACAGATGTCCCCAGGAGAAGGACGGAGATCCCGGATCTCAGCGGTCTGAGCATGCACAGATGTCCCCAGGAGAAGGACGGAGGTCCCAGATCTCAGGGTGTCTGAGCATGCACAGGTGTCCCCAGGAGAAGGACGGAGGTCCCGGATCTCAGCGGTCTGAGCATGCACAGATGTCCCCAGGAGAAGGACGGAGATCCCGGATCTCAGCGGTCTGAGCATGCACAGATGTCCCCAGGAGAAGGACGGAGGTCCCGGATCTCAGCGGTCTGAGCATGCACAGATGTCCCCAGGAGAAGGATGGAGGTCCCGGATCTCAGCGGTCTGAGCATGCACAGATGTCCCCAGGAGAAGGATGGAGGTCCCGGATCTCAGCGGTCTGAGCATGCACAGATGTGCTGCAGGTCTCTGTCACATCCTGAAGGCCTCTTGGAGCCCTTTGACCCATTTGTGCATATATTGGATTTTCAAAGATGGCGGCACCGAAGAGGGGGGGGGGTCAGCATTGTGGGAACTGAAGTCCAATTTTAATTGTCAACTTTACATTTCAACTTCAAAAAAATGTATCTTTACAGAGTATGTAACCCCCAACCAGGCTGGGGGCGGAGCACAGGCAAAGAAGGCCTCCCACTAAGGCTGGGGGGGTGTGGCATAATCAAATTAGACCTCCCACTGAGGGTGGAGGCGGGCCAAAGACACAGAATTCCGCCTACTGAAGCTTGAGGTGGGGTACAGACAAAGAAGACGTCCCATTGAGTCTGGAGGCGGGGCATAGACACAGAACACCTCCCATTGAAGCTGGGGCGGGGCATAGACACAGAACACCTCCCATTGAAGCTGGGGCGGTGCATAGACACAGAACACCTCCCATTGAAGCTGGGGCGGGGCATAGACACAGAACACCTCCCATTGAAGCTGGCGCGTGGCATAAAAAAAAGTAGACCTCCCACTGAGGGTGGAGGCGGGCCAAAGACACAGAATACCTCCTACTGAAGCTGGGGCATGGCATAGACACAGAACACCTCCCTCTTTGGGGCGTGGCATAGATCCAGAACACCTCCCTCTTGGGGCATGGCATAGACACAGAACACCTCCCTCTTGGGGCGTGGCATAGACCCAGAACACCTCCCTCTTGGGGCGTGGCATAGACACAGAACAGCTCCCTCTTGTGGTGGGGCATAGACACAGAACAGCTCCCTCCTGTGGTGGGGCATAGACACAGAACACCTCCCGGTGAGCCTGGGGGCGGGGCACAGACACCATGTTGTTTTTATGAGATCAGCGGATTTTTTCATTCCTATAAAATGAGATGATCAGCGATGAACAACAAGTAGAGAAATACACACACCAGACTCGGCCGATGCAAATAAAATGTTTTGCTCCATTATTATCATTAAATATTATTATTATTATTTATTATCATTATTATTCTTAGCATTATTATTATTATTATCAATATTATTATTATCATTATTATAATTAATTAGCATTATTATTATTTATTAGAATTATTATTATTAGCATTATTATTATTCTTATTAATTAGCATTATTATTATCAATATTATTATTATTTATTATTAGCATTATTATTAGCATTATTATTTATTATTATTATTATCATTATTATCATATTATCATTGTTATTATTATTTATTATTATTATTTATTATTATTATTATTAGCATTATTATTATTATTTATTATTATTTTTATTATTATTATTATTATTAGCATTATTATTATTATTTATTATTATTATTATTTATTATTATTATTATTAGCATTATTATTATTATTTATTATTATTATTATTTATTATTAGCATTATTATTATTATTTATTATTATTATTATTATTAGCATTATTATTATTATTTATTATTATTATTATTTATTATTATTATTATTATTATTATTAGCATTATTATTATTTATTATTATTATTATTACTATCATTGGTATTGTTCTGTCTCTCCAGTCTCAGCATTGATGGTGTGATCTCTGTAACTCCCAGTTGTGGTGAGGTAGCGATCACTCCAATCTCAGTTGGATATCACAGGCAGTGACTCGATCAGATGACATCTTGTAGATCTTGTGAAGTTTATTCCATAAACTGAGAGACTCTTACAACAATGAACATTCGATCGGTCAAAAGATCACAATGTTTCTGCTCCATGACATGAGGCTTCCTGCAATGCATTGTTGAGAGGTGTATAATTGGTAGGTTTGAGGGGTGGGGTTAGGTTGGTGTAGGAAGGGGATGTTATATGGTAATGGGGTTGGGGATATGGGGTGTAATGATTGGGAACGATTGGATGTTAAGTGAAAGATATGGATGGTGTTGGATGTGGATATGTGGATAAAAGATGGGAGGACCCCCCCCCCCCCCCAAATGATTTTGATAATTGGGGTTATGATGGGGGAAGTTTGTTTGTGTATATGGTGTTTTGTTTTGGGGGATGGTGATGACTTTTATTGGGGGTGTCGGGTTCAATAGGGTGGGGGGGGGGGGTGTTTGGGGGTGTTGGTGGATTGGGGGTTGGTAATGTGTGTTAGGTGGGGGGGGGGGGGGGTTGGGGTTGTGTGTTTTGGGGGGGGGGGGGGGGGTGTGGGGTGGGGTTGTTGGATGGGATGTGGGGTGAATGGTGGTGTTGGGGGGGGGTATGAAATGGGGTTGGGTGATTAAGGGGGTTTGTGGGGGTTTGGATTTGATGATTTTTTTGGGGTGGGGGTTGGGTTTTGGGGGTTTTTTTAGGGGGGGGATGGTAATGGGGGGTGGTTGGATGGGGTGGGGGGGGTGGGGTTTTTGTGGTTAGGTTGGGGGGGAAAGGTGGATGTGGTTTGGGGGGTTAGTTTTGGGGGTTTGGGGGGGGTTTGGGTTGTGTAGTGGGTTTTGTGTTGGGGGGGGGGTTGGGTGGGTACAAATTTTGTGTTTAGGGGTGGGGGGGGGGGGGGGGGGGTGAGGGTGGGGGTTGGGGGGGGGGGTGGTGTTGGGGGTGTG